TCCCAAATAGTTTCTGACTTTGGAGGTGATTCAAGCATAATTATTTGAATTTAAAGCATTTAAATGGGACTTTTATAAGTTAGTCACCAGTACAAATCCAGATTAATCTGCATTTGTAGCTAGTCTCCTAGAAGTGCACTACTTCCTCCTGCTTGAGTAGTGTTTGCTAAAAATGCCAGAGCCAAGCTGCTGTTGCAAATAACTGAACAGTTCTTAGAAATAAAAACACTGCATGTAGAGGTGATCCTCATCAGGAACAACTGGACTGAGAAGCACACATGTATGCACAACATTTTCAGCAAGCAAGTTCATTGATACGGTACCTTATCAAGTGAATGATTCAAACTAGTTGACTAAATAAAACAGATGCTTGTATGAGATGAACTATTTTAAATACATTGCAGATGTCTGCTGGTCTCATAAGAGAGGCCAGTAAAGAGAATCACAGTGATCCACTGTACAGGCAATAAAAGGCATGACTGAGTTTCTCTAAATCTTGCTCGGTCACAAAGTTTCACAGATTATGTTTTGAAGATGCCAGAAGGTTGGCGGTTTGATCCCCGCCTCTCCGCATGCCAAAGTGTCCTTGGGCAAGACACTGGACCTGAGGCTGCTCCCAGGCAGCACCTTGCTTGGCAGCTCTGTGGCCATCGGTGTGTGAATGTGTGAATGAGAAACAGACTATAAAGCGCTCTGAGTAGCACTAAGGTAGATGATACGAGTGCAGACCATTCACCATTTAGAATGAGGATTTAGCTCGCGCTTGCTGAAATTCAGATCTTCATCAATGATCACACCAAGACTCTGGACCTGGCTGTTAGATTTTAGAGCCGTGGAGTCAAGCTGAGCGCTGGGCACTAGCTGTTCTTCTTTATTGCCAAACAGAATTATTTTGACTTTATTTAATTGAAAAAAAAAGTTTTGTTGAATCCGACAGTTTATTTCCTCAAGACGAAGTAAATCTGTACAACCGTTGTCATCTTGTGAGAGTGTTAGATAGAGCTGAGTGTCGTCTGCGTAACTGTGATAAAGGTTGGGACATTTGTGAAATGCTAGCATGTATAGATTAAAGAGAAGAACCTATTCTTGTGGACTCCGTACATCACTGGGGGTTCTGTTAAATCCATAATTACCAATACTCAGGACTTACCCGCTGCCTTTTAGGATAAAGTAAACCACCTGAGGACTGTTCCTGAAAGCCCGACCCCATTTTTTCCAATCTATCCGTTAGTGATCCACAGTTTAAAACACTGTGATCTAATAACACCCAAATCATGATTCATGCTAATGTCATAGTGCTATGCTATGAGTGGAAACCTGATTGTAGGCTGTCAGTTGTTTAAATGCAGGATGTGACTGATTTGGTTGATTTGGCCGATAGCTGCCTCATGCTGAAGCATCCAGGTTTCTCTTTGTCAAGAGGGCCTGATAACTGCAGTCTTGATTCTTTAAGGAGTAAAGAGCGCCTTGATGATTATATGAAGCTATCAGAAACATAAGTTGTGACTGGATGCTCAAATACTGACCACAAGCGTAGCCTTTGCTTCTGATTCATGATGGATAGCAGGTGTCCTTCCCCAGTAAATATACATACCTGGACATAAACACATCTAACACATATTTAAACTACAGAACAAACTATTCCTGAGAGGGCGGTTGTACTCGTGTGACTGAAACTCGAGTGATGATTTCCAGAAACACAGTTACGCTGGTCAAAGTCAAAGAGCGTCATAGGAATCTGATTTTACGTGACTTCATTGCTTTTATGACTCTTCTGGGACGCAATCAAAAGCTGAGAGTGGGACCTTGTGAACTGGTCCGGGCTGCGGAAAACAGGATGCAGCTGAGCGCTCCCAGTTCCATTGTGGATTTTCTGATCCCTGTTTCTGGATGCTTCATTCAGTCTGTAATTGCCATTCAGCGCTGGGACGGTCTGAACCGTCTCACAGTGTGGGTCAGCAGCTTGTGTTTCCACTGAGAAAACATGTGTCACCACTGGCAGCCTCTCAAAGTCCAGCTGGACCACTGAGACCGGGAGAGCTGTGGGATCTGCAATGCACCGATTACACAGAGAGCCCACCCAACTGTCAGGAGTCTCAGGACTGCCAGAGATGGAAGTTAAAAACATGATGTGTAAAGATATAGACCATCATATTAGTCTGAATATATGCAAAATGTGTGTATATGTTGGTTGACGTCGTGAGAGAGGTGTGACACTGGGCTGCATCAGTGGGTCAGTACGAAACAGTGCAAACATAAATCAGTTCAAGAAGGTTGTATAGAAATATGTTTTTAAAAAACACAGGGATGAAGAGAAGTCATTTTGGGAGAGGGCATTATGCCAACTGTAAAGGGATGGGTGGTTATAAAGTATTGGGCTGCACAGTAAATGATCTGGGGTTTGCTTTTTGTTTGTTTGTAAAGATTTTTTTGGGTTTGGGTTAACTATAAACAGGGGAATAAGGGATGGGAATTAATAAGCTTTCGTTTCTTCCTGCTCCCTTTCGGACACATGATTTATTTAGATTCATGGAGCGGCAACAGAATGTGTAGGTACATGATTATATGTATTTATGTGTAGATATGGGTGTGTATGTATTTTGTCTGTCACTCACATGAAGTTTTGCTATTAAATATTATTTTTAATTTATATATATTGTTATTTTCTTTTCTTTTAATCTGTTTGAAATAAAGAATGAATGAATTTTGCACTTCCATAAAGTTTGGGGAATCACTGGAGAGAACTTTAAAAAAAAAAAAAAAGTAAAAGAATAGTCATAATCAGAGCTGCAGAGGTGGTCATATCCCAGATGTTGGTGCTGCTGGACAGGCCTCCTGGTGGCGCTCCTGGGCCCCAGAGCCCCTGTTTAAAGTGACTGGCGTTGAAATGTCACAAGGCTCAGATGTGGTTCCATTTCCATCCTTATCATTTAATAACAAGTCTTACAAACTATAAAGCTACCTGATTGGTTAGCTTGGTACGAACACCTAGTCTCCCCCTGCTAGTCCTACCTCCACAGGGTCAGTGCTACAGTACGGTCTGGCTGCACTCGCCATCATTATGCTAGAGGAGAGAAAACACTCGGGTTTGTTTGTGTATCTTTAAACCAATCACAGTTGTCTTGGGTGATGCTCAGCGTGGGATGGAGCGATGGTGCTCTCGCAAAATAGTCAAAAATTTTGATTGAATGTTTGAGTATAGAACAACCACAGCACTGTCACTGAAATGGCTAAAACCAATCACAACCATCGTTGTCTTACTGTCAAACCAAATCTTCAACAAAACTTTTCAGAAGGAAGCAGTAACTTGCACACAGCAGAATTTCACTTATGAAGTGGTGAATCCCATCCTGGCTCCGTCCAGAGGTTTAAAACATCTGCCAAGCAGCTCACTAACCAACAGGCAGCAAACCAGAGGCCAGGAACCAGTGAAGCTTTGAGGAATAAGCACCTTTTACTGGAGATGGATTCAGATTATCAGGGTCTCATTCAAACCAAAGCAACAGATTCTGTCAGCTTGCAGGGTGGGGCCTCCTGCATCATTATTGTTCTTCAGAATCAGTTTCAGGTTTGAACATTATGACTAAATGACTTAAATATCACAGCTTGTGTAGAGCAGAGGAGTTTTCTAGTGTCTGAGCAAAGCTGGAGGTGAGCTGGTGTGCTGAGAGACAGACCGGGACTTCACACGTCTAAAGGAAAGAGCCGTGTAGGTCTTTATAAGGCAGATAGAGGTTATTTTCATGAGAAACATACACATAGATGGTTTTTGGGGTTTAATCAATAACCAGACTTTCAGTAAACGTCAGCCTAATCTAGCAGATGACCAAGCTTCTCCTACAGAGTCTGTGCATGTTGCTGGTTTTATTTATTGTTTGTTAATCTTTAGTCTGGACTAAATCCTTCAGAAGCTTTCAAACACTTTCTGACCCCACGTTACAGAAAGCTCTGATGATCATTAACAGCACATGAAGAGTTCATTTGCAACAACACATAACTCCACAAACCTTCAGAAAACCCTCTTCTCCATCGTCTTCCTGAGACAACACCAGTCAAACTTAGCTTATCTCTATTCCTGTCATTTCTACTGAGTCAGATCCACTCAGCTTCAGTTTGATTGTCATCATGTCAAGCAAACAACAACAAAAATAGGTTTTCTGTAAATCTATAAAAATGGAGTTATCTGTTTTTCCTAATGAACTCTTCACATGTAAAAGGGGGGCTGCATCGTAGTGGACTGACATCCCCGTTTTCATCGCCCCCCTTATTCCGTTCCTCTTCTTGCTCTCTTTCGTTTTCTCTCCAGATGTTTCCTGTCTCTACCAGACCACGCTGGCGATGGGCTGATGGGGGGGTCCCTGCTTGCTCGGCATGTGACAGAGCTGTGGTTCACTCTGTTTGTAAACCATTTGAACGCTGTCTAAACACTCCTCGGCCTCCCTTCCATCCCACACACGCTAGGGAGCCAAACAACACCAGCAAACTGCCCCCCATCGCTGCCCCTCCGACGCCCCCCCCTCCAAAGGGTAGGAGGGGAGACAACAGGGACAATTTGTTGATGATACTCGTCAGTATAAATAGATCCTCCGATGCTCAGCCTCCCTGCGTGCTGTGAGCTGGCTGAACCTCCTTCAAGAACTGTTTTTTCCATGTCACGGAGTTCTTAAAGGCAGTAAATAAAGGCTGAGCGCTCATTCATCAGCTATCAGAGGGGATGAGATGAAGCTGCACACAGAAAGAAGCTCATGTCTAATGTATAAATGATCTACTTACTTATAGGTATTCTACGTAGCTTTGATTAAACACAAGTTGCAGCTACAATAGAAATCTAAAAGTAGAAAAGAGTCCCGAGCTCAGCAAACTGACCTTAATGTCAACTTTACTGCAGCATCTACCCGATGCATGGGACGTCTCAATTTCGCATACATCGCTTTGGGATTTTGCTAAAGTACGAAAAAAATAAGTAAAGGTTTTATCAGCAGGAACACATGAATCTTCGGGGTTGTGAGATGATGAATGGGAGTTAAAAAGTTCTGCTAACCTCATCTGTTTTCAGTTTTTGGACTTTTTTTTTCTTAATCTTTGATTTTGGTGAGATATTAAATAATGTGAACATTTGCTGAAATCCAACCACGTGAGACGTTTAGAGGGAAACATCCCTATTAGACATGTGAGCCTGACTACACGCTGCTGTTTGGGAGAAGTGAAGAGTTCATCTGCAGAAACAGATAACTCCATTTTTATAGATTTCAGAAAACTTTTTTGTTGTTGCTGTTTGCTTGAGATGATATCAATCAAACTAAAGTTGAGTGGGTTTGACTCAGTAGAAATGACAGAAATAGAGATGACTTAGACGATGGAGAAGTGGGTTTTCTGAGTTTTCTGTTTTTGCAAATAAACTCTTCAAGTCAGGAAGGCTGGAAGCCACTGGGTTCATCTGTGTGCTGCACTTTAAAAGCTTGTTCTAGCATCCATACATCTCAGCTGTCAGAGAGCACAGCAGCAGCAGCAGCAGTAGTAGACGTAAAACAGAAATACTCAAAGTACAGGGGCCTCAAAACTGTACTCAAGCAAAGTACTTGAGTAAATGTGTTTAGTTACTTCCCACTAGTGAGTAGGTGAGTGGTCTGGTGAGGACTGAAATCACGTAGTTTGCTGGATAATGTCAAAATATATTTTCAAATACGGGGCAGCAGAGTACCAAAGCATTTAGATCTTATTTGTCCAGATGAACCAGAGGAGAACTGTGAATGATTTCCATAGTAACCACTGAAGAAACGGTGCTTTGTTTTGTGGATCATCCAGCTTTACGTGAACACGGCACAAGACTTGGGTAAATGAAATCAAAGCGATGGAGACGGCGAGATTTGAAATGAATAAGAAAAAAGCAGAAACACAGATGTTCTACCAAAGGATGCTGCATGACATCATCACTCATACATTAAAGTATGAACATTGGCAAGACATGCCATCACTTTAGTCAAGACAAGCTTCAGGAATTCTCATATCAGTCTGTCAGTGTTTCATTATTTTAAGCATCTCTATATCTATATTATCTGTAACTGCAACGATTTTCTAGAGAAGCAAAAGATGAAACAGAAGCGAAAGCAAGAAGAGCCAAAGAGGCAGAAGTGTGACTGGACTCACCGTAGTACTGGAGCTGCTCCGTGGAGCAGTACCCATCCGAGGTGGAGAGAAACCCCCCGGCTGGAAAGCTCATCTCCAGCTCGGTCCACTCTCTCATCTGGACAGAAAATCCTCTCTCCAGCTGCTAAAACCGAATCTATCTCCACACACGCAAACACAGACACATACAGACAGTTACGCTGAGGATTCGCACAGATATGAAGGATCTGGGGAGTGCAGAGACATTCCTCAATCCTCAGGATGAGTCCAGGTCTCTCAGCTGTCCAGGCTGACGTCCCGGCCTATTTTTAAAAAGCAGAGAAGAAGAGTGCAGCTGAGGCTTTTGGTCTGCGGTGGATGATGTGCTGGAGGAGGGCCTAAGCGTCCCAGGGGGCCAGACAAAAGGGAAAGTGGGGACACCCAGAAAGGACTGGGATGGGACTGTGGCCCAAACAGCTGGACCTGGCTGAGACTTCATAGATCAGGAGACAGTGGGGACAGAGGGAGGATGACCTTATCCCTCGTGGGCTGAGTGAGAGACAATCATGTGTCCCGAGTGAGCAACATCAGAGAGCCAACCGATAGCTGAAGGTTTTCTTTTTTTCGTGAGCATCTCATTGACTAAATGCTGTTATTGAAGATGTTTCAGGTTCACTTCAGATTAAACCAATCCTGCTATTTATATTCATATTTACTATGCTTCGTGTGTGCTGTGACTCTATCTGTCCATGTTTGTCCTCGAGGCCTTGGGAGTGTGTTTACTCTGCCCTTTGTTTACCGCTGCTCTGTTTGTGCTGCAGTTAATATTAGACAGCAGTTAGATTTAAGGCTCCCAGGGACCTCTGCCTCCCCCACAAACAGTGGACCAGGCCAGGGCCGAGCCAAAGGAGTCGAAGCCTGAACCGCCCGCAGGAGACGGAGGTGTGACCCCGACATTGGCCTGTAAATCTCTGAGCGGGGCCGTTTGACACGCAGCATGCTCGCTGAGGATTAATGGTGTCCTCCCACCCAGCTATCATCCTTTCACTGGCTCATTATGGGAATCAGGACCAACTGGTGGATAGCTGAGGGTCAGAGAAGAGCTGACGGTTCTCACTGAGTGTGTCGACTGCAGTCACCATCCATCTCAGTGAGAGACCAAACAAAAATGTAGATGCTCGCTATGAAAAGTGAGTCCAAATCGGAGCATACGTGGACGTGTGTGCATGGTGACAACACTTCAGGGAAAAGCACAACCGAAAGAGAAAATAAAAAGTGTGACCTGTTTGTCTAAAACCTGATAACTTTCGCTGTACTGTGGTGTCTGCAGTGTTCAGAAAGATGTTGACCTTTTAATTACAGAACAATTAGAGTTGAACTAAGTTTAAAAACACTACATATTCAAACTATAAATTAGCAGCAGCAAAAACAGAAAACATGTTAGTGAGACACAGAGCTTCCTGCTGTCATAAACACACTGATAGATTTCATATAGAAAAATAGGGTTAAGCTACTTTCATAAGGTTTTGTGGTAAACGTGTTTTTCCCCTGGTGGTTTGTAACCAACATATCTTTTCATTTCATTGCTTTACAGACTCTTTTTTTCAGCAGCCAATCATATATTAGATGGGACAAGACCTGTCACCGTGGTAACCCAGAAAAAGGAGGGTATATTCATAAACCTGAACAAGTAGTTTTGGTGCTTGTATCTAACCAAACAATGAAGAAAAACTTAGATTAATTGGGGCACAAATCCCAGGCTGGTGAGTGGAGGTCGTGTCTGAAGCTAATGGCACCACCACCTTATTGAAAGTAAGGCTGCTACTGAGCTATTTTAGCAAAAGCTGAAGATGAAGCAGGACTTTTCTAAAAGACAAGGCGGCATCATGACCAGCTCTTGGATGGTTCCTGAGTTCCAAAGTTCCCAATGAAGTGAACTCCTACAGTGACAGTATCTCACTTCAGAGGCACCAGTTGTACCCTGGGGACTGGATATGAGTCAAAACTGGTTCAGAGATTCATTCTTAAAGCATCTTTGTGTGACTACAGTGGTGATAGATCCCAACATGTGAGAGACAGTTAGCAGCGTGTCACATCCTAACATATGTGGCAAAACAAGCCATGATAATAATAATAATAATAATAATCCGTCCCATCCACTGGGTCTGACCTCAGAGGGATGGAAGGAGAACAGAATGATGGGGACAGTATCTGAGCGTGTGCAAATGTCACCATGGATCTTGTGGAGGTGTCACGCTGTTGGACACATTGTTGAGCACAGGCCTAAGTACGAGGGGCTCGCCCCCTGGGAGAGGAGGAAAAACAAGAAGAAGAGGAGGAACAAGGAAGGAAAAGGCACGTTCATATCAGTTCCCTCATAGGTTTTGTTTTGCACCAAGATGCTAGAAAAACGGGAGATGCAGTACATAACACATAAAAACACACTTAAGTCAACTTCTCCACAGAGGTCCAGAGCAAAAAACGAACTGATGGGATGGCTCGTCCAAACCCCTGAACTCATTAGTCCTGAATCACTCACAGCCCAGAGATAAATCCAGAGCATCATAAATCGTGTCCGGGGCGTCCTCTCCATGCGCTGGGCTCCTGTCTTTATCAGACGGCTGCTGGCTGGTAGCTGCAGCTCGATAACGGCCTGTTTACTGATCCTCTCTGCAAACTGACGCTCACTTTAAAGTGGATTCGGTCAGCGAGGTCCATAGCTTATGTCTGAGCGTATGCAAGAGGCATTTGGCTATCACGGGGGAGGAATGTAAGTTGTCAAATGTAAGTCGTGTCTACTTAAAGCGTTTCCTCTGTTCCGCGGAGGTCACTGAGAGGCTGCATTGTTTGTTCGTTTTCTCCTCTGTTGTAGTTTTACAGACAGATTATGTACGCCTGATTAAACAAAACACTCTGAATTCCTGATGAGAACAGCACCCTTCTAGACCTCCTCATCATTATGATTGTTAAATGTTTTTAAAACCACAGCCTGTAGACGTCCAGAACTGAACACCTCAAGGCCGGCCTCACAAACATGTTGTGGGTGACGGCCTCCAGTAAGACCTCCGTTTTTACTGATTTCATTCTTTTTACGTCTGTAAAAACGACCTCTGTGCTCATTTAATTCCTTTAAATTACTTCTTTTACGTGCACTCACCAATTAGCTATTTCAAAACAGTCAATAATCTTAAATCTGCACCAGTTTTTGAACCAGATAACACTGCGTCAGGCTTCAGCTGTGCTACTCAGAGGTTGTGGACTCACCGCTGATGGTGGGACTCCTGCTGAGCTTTGTCCCAGCGTCCTCTCTCTTTGTCCAGCTTTCACTTTTTGTAATGTTGACAGCAGCATGAGCCTCTAGTCTCTCTCTCTCGCTCTCTCTCTCTCTCTCTCACACACACACACACACACACACACACAGAGTAAACACAACCTTTCATATGAGATGTGTGTTTTAACTAAACATGCATGTTTCCTTGGGGGGGGGGTGGTGGTGGTTTTTGTGCATCAGAACACTGGGAATTTTTTAGATAATCAAACTCTTTCTCTATGATTTTCCCAGATTAGGCCGTTTCTGGTCGGTCACACAGGACCCCCCTCCCCTCTGCTGCTCGTAGGAACTGGAGTCATCTCATTAAGAAATTCCCAGTATATGGTTTATAAACAGCCTCTTGTTCATCCCTGGTGATGGATGGATGGATGCGTCCTATCACTGGCTCTTCCTGCAAACTCCCCAGGCTGCTCAACAGTCTGTCTCCCTGCCACTGTTTCACAACCGCTGCACACTGCAACACCCCCAAACACACACATACTGAAACCGTGGTATTTTTTGTTTTGACCTTACATCCCCGTGGGTGGGCCCTTACTGTCTTCGGTTGCATTATGTCTAATAGCGAGGGGGGAAATGCGTGTGCGTGTGCGGGGGTGTTGCGAGGGAGGAGGGTGCTGCTGAGAGGCCAGCGTGAATCTGCTAATGAAGAAAAACAACACGGCTGTCAGGGCCTCCCAGAAGCAGGCCAAACACAGATCGCTGGAGGTTGAGGTCGGAGAAGGCAAATGGTCAGAGTTCAGCATGAAGGCCAAGAGCAGACCTTGACCTCTGCTGGGCTGAAAGAAGTGGGAGGTGCAGAGAGGAAACCGAGAGAGTGTTTTCTTACTTATTGTAAAATTCATAAATCTCAACAAGAAGAAAACTTCAGTGTGAAAGAAGTGGCAAAAGCCTCAATTAAGACCTCATAAAACAGAGAACACGTGTAATTCATTTGTTTATTCTGTCCAGCACACGGACCCACTAAATATATTTAACATTTCTCAAAGTACAAAACCACGATTTGTGGCAAAATGTGCAAAACAGAGAAGATGAAAATGTGTGAATGGAACAAAATGAAAATAAAACTTGAACATTACAAATAAAAAAATGCTCAATAGGGTTTGTTAAGTTATGTTTGTGGCACTTAGTGTGACTTAATGCTAATTTCTTCTTTTCCAGTTTGACACATGCCTGCGTTTACACATCTGAGAGCCCAGAAACACCGTAAACCAGATCAGAATCGGACCTTTGTGCAGTGGTTAGCCAACCGTCCACGTGTTTGGCAACTTAAAAGCACCAGAAATGTTCTCAGAAACCCTCTGTGTGATACGGTCACTCCCACCAGCATGTTGCTGAAACCTACACATGGTTTGACGTTAAACTGAGAGGTCAGGTTGCCAGGAGGTGTTTCCATCGATGCCCAACATCTGAGACCCTGAGCTGTCCCTTTAAGACTTTAAGACCTAAGAGCACTTACAAGGTGTGTCAGAAAAGTGTCAGGACTGGTGTCACAAAGGATTCAAATCCAAACTACAAACTACCAGTGTTCCCCTTCGTAGTAATCCCCCTGGAGTCTAACACACTTCTCCAGCCTTCTCTTCATGCTGCCACGCACTCCTGGAAGGATTCTTCCAGGATCCTCTCAGCTCCGTCGTCACAGCCATCTTGATGTGGTCCACGTCTTCTAAACGGGTCCCCTTGATGACCCCCTTGAGCTTGGGGAAGAGGAAACAACCCCACGGAGCCAGGTGGGGTGAGCATGGAGATGTTCTTCACAGCCAGGAGCTGTGGGATGCTCAGGACGCTGTGAGCAGGTTGTCATGGTGAAGCAGCCTCCACTGGTTCTGCCACAATTCTGCCTCTTCTGGACGAAGCAAACGCTGCAGGATCTCTGTAGACGAACTGGTTGATCGTCTGAAGGGGAAACTCCTAGTTTGTGGTTTGAAATCTATCTTTTGTGACACCAGTCCTGGGGATTTCCTGACACACCTCGTACTCATCTGTTGCTGTGCGTTGCAGTTTAAAAAAACACACTGTAAACAAATAGAATGAGTGCATAATAAATAAAACCATAAAATGACAGAGTACAGTTTGTTTTGATGGTTGGTGAAGTAATTCTGACGACTCCACTGTGGGAGAGCGTTCGCTGGAGTCCCACCAGCAGCGAGTTGGTTCAGGTCCTGATCAGGGGCGTCGTCTCCTCGGAGTCCACCTGCAGCGGAGCTTTGCGATAAATTAGAAACTGGACTGAGATCTGAATCATGGTGTTAGGGAAATGTCAGGATGTTGGTAAAAGGAGCATTTTATTTGCAATCAGAAAAACACAAATCTGTGAAAATAGACCCACTTCTTCAGCTCTGAGACGATTCTGTGAAGTGAGAGAAGACCTGCTAGCACCCAGAAATGCCTATTCTACTCAACAGCTGCCAGAGAGTCCTTCATCAAAAACCTTCACTAAGAGAACAAACTGGGCCCAGGGCTCCTTCCTATTTCTAGATCCTGTCAAACCTGAAACACACAGAACCTCGGGGCCAGGTTGTGATATTCTGACAAATATGAAGCTGAAGCCAGGAGCTGCTTAGCTGAGCTTAGCTGAGCTTAGGCTGAAGACTAAACATAGGAAACAGCTAGCCAGACTCTGTCCAGTGCTGTAGCACCTCTAAAGCTCACTATTCACTATACTCTATTTCAGTTATTAAATCTCTGTGTTGATGCCAGTTCCAGGAGCAGGTGGATAATTAGAGAAAACCCATTTACAGTCGACCTGTCCGATGATCTGATGCAGTCGTCCTGAACTCAGCTGAATGTGGTAACTGTCTCTACGGCTTTAATAGCCTGGTCTGACACATGACAGAAAGGAAAGTTAAATAAGTCACAATGACTCAGGTGAGGTGGAAAAGAACGATGAAGCACAACTACAGAGTTAGATGTGGGAACAGGGACAGTCAACAAGTCCTACCGATGTCTGCTGGACGGCCACATGTTCTACGGTTGGGTCTCAAGTTTTCCTTAAATGTTCTTTAGAGTTTCTATCTGTAATAAATAGTGTACTTGTGGTGATTTTTTTAAAAGACAACATGCCTTTCTAACCTGTCAGCAGGTTTCGGGGTGAACAGACGTGAGAATCTTCTGCTTTCTCCACTTATTCATTAAAATCCACTAAAGTGACGCTTTGTGAGTTTTGTGCAGTGCAAAGGAACCGAGTGGCCTCCAGGGGCCACTAGTGCAGCTTTTACAGTCTTGTTGCTCTGCTGGCAGCAAACCAGCTTCCCTGCCAGTGTTGGACCTATAATACTGGATATTGTGTGTTCACACACACACAGTCACAAGACCTGAACCTTTCTACTGAGCTGCTCGCTCTGCCCGCTCAGCACTGCCTACTATGTAGCATGTACATGGGATTAAGGAGACCCGGAGGCCCAGGAGCAGACGCCATGTTTTCTCTTTGAAAGGATACAATGAGGTCTAAGGAGAGGGTGCCGAGGCTGCCGATGAGCCAGGGCAGGTGATGGATCAGGTAGTTGCTCTCGCCCTGTCCCTGGTCGGGGTTTTTCAGGAGGACGCTCAGGCCATATGTAGTGTTTCCGAGAATAACAAGCGCGAACAAGAAGTACGACACTCCCTCTGTCGACTTCCTCTTGAACTGTGGGGGAGAACGAGACAGCGGGCGGGGAAGCGGTGAGGACAAAAAACGTTTTTAAAGAAATGCATGATGCCACATACAGTATACATGAGATCAGCCCTGTGCAATATCACTTCAATGGCAAAACATTTAAAACCGTATCAGCTCTCGATAACTGCATTGATGACAAGCAGAGTTTTTCCTCCTACAAACAAATCAAAAACAAACATTTTTAGAAAGACTGCACTGAAAATTAGGGCCCCAAAATAAAAACACAAGTGAATACACCTGTGATCACTGAAACAGACATTTGTGCACCTGTGATCTCCAGATATCCAAGCAGTATGAACATGGTTAGAAAATGAGCTGTGAACACCAGAACTTTCTCACTTTGGGACCTATGAGCTGCATCGTGGCTCAACATGAGAAAAGAATTACGAGAGAAACTGAAAAATCTGAATGTGAGACTTCACAAAGATGGAAGAGGACACAGAAAGATCAACTAAAGATCAGTGGAGACGGAGCTGCAGCAGTAACCAGGAGGTCAGTTCACTATCTGAACAGTCCAGCTTTGGTCAGACGACACCAAAATACATTTGCTCAGCTCAGATGGAGTTCGGTTCTTGTTTAGCATGAACACGGCCGGGACAAGCACAGTAGTTCTGACAGTGAAGCCCTGGTTGTGATGATACGGGGCTCCATGAGTGCAAAAGATGTTGGGAGGGTGACGTTTATAGATGGCACGATGAATGCCTGTTAATACACCAAGATACTGGCTCACGAGATGACTCCTGATCTGTAGAAGCTTTGCAGAGGGAGAAGATTCCAGCATCAATCATCATCATCATCCAAATCACACCGTCGAGTTTCAAAAGAAGAAAAAACTGAAAACTTTGACCTGGACAAGTGTGTTCGTGTCATGTTCATGACAAATACTGTTCAACTCAGAGGTAATGTAATTACTGCAGTATTGTTAAGTGATGCTGCACAGGTGTGTATTTATTAAGCGTCTGTGATCCATCCAGACTACAGAAGAGAAAGCAGCTCAGTTGTTAGATTCCTGCTCAGTTCTCTGGTACACTGAATCTTCTTTCACTTCTTCTTTCACTTTCATCTGCATTTTTTTATGCAAACTGAGGCAAACACAGACATCATTCANGTGTGAAACAGACTCAGCAGCACATCAGGAACAAACATAAAAACAGTTATTGTTTAGTGAGGACCGACTGAATGCATCCAGTTTAGCTCCTGTGACAGCACGGCTTCATTAACTGGGTCTACTGATCTACAGCTCGGCAGGTATACCGTCTTCCTTCAGCTGAGAATCGCTGAGCGAACACAGACAGGAAGTACAGCGGTATGAAGAAGTTTGGCCACCCCTGACAATTTCCTTTATTTCCATTTATAAATCACTGGGTGTTTGGATCAGCAGCTTCATCTGTGGGATGATGTGAAGCGGGCTGTCCATCAAACCTAACTGGACTGGAGATGTTCTGTAAGGAGGAATGGTCCAAAAACACCTCCATCCAGAAACCAGACACTCATTACAGGCGATAGGAGGCGTCTAGAAGCTGTTTAGGAGCCTCTACTAGATATTGATGTGATTTTGTTGTGTTGGGGTGCCACATGTTTGCACCTGTGTAGTTTTGTTTTGATGCATATTGATGCACATCTTCTGTTTGTCCAGTAAACCTCGTTTCACTGCTGAAATATTTCTGTGTCCATCAGTTTTTTGACAGATCAAATTGAAGCTGCTGATCCAAACACCCAACGATTTAAAAATGGAAATGATGGAAACTATCGGGGGTGCCCAAACTTTTTCATACCTGTACTGTAACTGCTCAAAGTGGGGCGCTTCTTACAGCAGATTTAAACCCCAACCTCGTACGGAGAGGGTCAGCTGTGCAGCACCAGGTACCACGCTGCTCTAGCGGGCTGAGAGGTTTGTAACAGTGATGTATGTCGAGCCTGAAGCCAGAACCACATCCCAACAGTGAAGTTCATGGATCGTATGTGTGCGCGGTTGTTCCTGTAATTTCTACTCCACACTACACGTGTCTTCGATATATTTCAAGAACAGGTTTTATTGATGACGCACCCAAACATCTATACTGAAGGAATACCTTCAGTAGGCTAGATTCTCTTATTTACATCATGTTTCCACAAAGTCATACAAATACTTGGTAGGCTTCATGTCAAAGTATAGATATATTACATTAAACAGTGGATTTTTGTTTTATAAAGCAATCGTCACAACAAATCTACAAATGAAAATGGATGATAGAAAAGAAACGACCGATCATTAACTAGTGGAAAAAACGAGTCCTACTTCAAAACTATGTACAGGCGAGTTGAATGTCCGTGAAATAAGGAAGGAATGAAGCTCTCGTGGTTTCCTGTCCTTTAGAGTTCTCAGAGAAGCAGACGTCTTGTGTAGTTGAATTCTCTCAAAGGCCGGGACGAGATAAATTGAGCAGTTTGTACAGAAAATCTCATCCTGTTCTCTCTTTGTTTCATATTTTATTCCTGCCTCCAAAAACAAAAGAAATGCACGACGTGAGGAAGACAGTTCTTTACTTGTCTTGTTTCTCTTGCGGTTGGTTCTCATTTGATGTGGACCACTTTCTCATCTGTTTTCAACCGCTTGCGTCTGGGCTGTATGAAATCCTCCTCGGAGTCGTCGGTGTCCTCCTCCTCCTTCTCCTTCTCGTCCAGGGACTCCGCTTCGGGGGTTTCGGGGAAGCTTTGGCCGGGGAACATCTCCTGCAACTTCTCTTCAAAGTACAGGCTTACCGCCTTGCCGGATATCGCCATCTCAGAGCCCGCCTGTGGGAGGACGAGGGGGTAGCAGAAGAAGGGTGTGAAGAAAGACATGGAGGGAGGTGGTGTGAGAGTATCATTGAGCAGGAAGAATGAATGGGTTGGAGCAGGGAGGAGGAAGAGGAGAATGAGGAGACAGATTAGACGTGGTTAGGACTCCTGGTGGCAGGGTGGCCCCAGCTCAACCTTGCTGTACAGAGCAGGGATGTCCTGCCGCCCCGTCCCACTGTGGCTCCAATGAAGCATTTCCACAACTCTGTTCAACGTCTAGATTCAGTGTGTGGTTTTGACAGAATTCAGCAGTCAGTGAATCAACTAGCAGGAGTGAAATACAAGATCTGCTTGTTTAAAGGCTGTGAAAACCTTCAATGCCGACATAAAATCCAAACTTTTTTAACACCACTTACACACTATTAAATTCTGTAGCCGTTTAATGGACAGACCAGCACCCAGCACATAGACCAGAAACCAACTCCAACACTGAGAGAGAACGACCAGCTGATCCCACATAGTGTACAGTTAAATGTGTTTTCTTGTTTCACTGGCACTTAAAAACTCCAAACTCCTTAGAATAAAATCTAACTCGGCTCCAGCAAACAAGCCCTGAGCTGAGAAGCTCACTCAGGAAGAGCGAGTAGCGCCTCGGTTCTACAGCAGCAAAGTCTGGATCCACTCGTTTCTAAAACTCTCAAGTAAGATCGCATCTGAACTCAAACAGCTGTTGGAGTCACTGAGCTTAAACCATGTTGTCTGTGAAGGTCCTCAGTCATCCAGGTCACGGTTGTTCTTGTAGATTAGTCGTAGCAGCTGGACCTGTTTGAGTTCCTTGAAGACGTTCCACCTTCATCCAAGAGGCTATATCAGCTCTGACTGACTAGTTGGGAGTTCCAGGTACTTATCTCCTTAAGGAGCCATTAACACCTGAGTTTGGGTTTCAACTGGGGGTTTGTTGCTCCTCCCCCTCGTTATGTGGGTCATTAGTGCTCCCCCTGACACAGTGGGGTTCGTTAGGGTCTTTTGTGGCTAGGTGTGGATGTGGTTTCATCTTCCTGGGGAGAGATCTTAGGGAGAGATCCCTAACGAACCCCACTGAGGCAGGGGGAGCACGAATGACCCACATAACGAGGGGGAGGAGCAACAAACTGAAACCCAAACTCAGGTGTTAATGGCTCCTTAAGGAGATAAGTACCTGGAACTCCCAACTAGTCAGTCAGAGCTGATGAAGCCTCTTGGATGAGAGGTAGAACATCGTCAAGGAACTCAGGCAGGTCCAGTTGCTACGATGAATCCACAAGACCCTAAACCACATTGAATTTGCCTCATGGAACCGAAATAACCAGAGAGTAAGTAACTGATATAAACCTGGCTAACCTCTTTGTGTGTTCTGCCTCCCATCACAGGCTACACTTTGTAAAGCCTGAGAACAGAGCCAGGAGGAGGCTGCAGAGCTCTAACTTCCTGTCAAACCACTTTAATTAAAAAAAAATAGGCTGAAACTATTNTTTTTTTTCCAACTCCATCTGGAGCTGTCCGTAGGTGCACAACTTCTATTTTTACTGGCAATTAGGATTTATTCAATTATTCTTGCAAAAACTAAAATAGAAAAATCTGCAACACTGGAAATGATTTTTATTTTACTCTCATGTGACGTATTAAGTTCCCACAAGAGTACGTTACATTTTTACTTTCTTGTGAATTAGAATCAGCTGATGTCTACCGTCAGCCGTGAGGAACACGTGGTGCTAAATAAACTCAACATTTGCAGCCGTATCGACTTTGCCGTACTTACATTAGTGTACATCTGTGGAAGTCTGGAGCACAGGTAGAGCACTGACGAGATGGAACCGATGGAGAAACCGATGATCTCCTTTGGGGTAAAATCCTGAAGCGACGGCGGGAGATACAGAACGTTAGCCAGATATAAGGAGTTCATTATTTAAAAAAATGAACAGGACTCACCCGAGCTGAGCTGCCATCAGAGGTTGAGAGCAGGGAGCGACCTCTGACCACAGATGAAACAATTTCCTGCTGCGTGCCTTCTCCGGGGAGGTGAGCGAAGCTTGTGGTGAAGCCCAGGACGCAGACTAAACCCACCACATGCAAAACCCTCCTACCTGGTGAAGGAAACAACACCTGGACTCAGTTCTGTGAAAAACATCTCGCTGCATTCCACCAGAGGAGAGTTACTGCGTCACCGGTAAGGGCCACAGCAATATGAGGCGTGTGCAGACATCTTTACAGGAGCCAGGGATCATGAAGAGCTTGTTCATTCAACGACTACGCCAGATGAAACTGAGCTTAGAAATATACAGCGCCTTGGTAACGACCTATTCTGGTAGATTAATCATAGCAGCTGGACCTGCTTGAGTTCCTTGAAGACGTTCCACCTCTCATCCAAGAGGCTTCATCAGTTCTGACTGACTGGTTGGGAGTTCCAGACACTTACATCCTGAAGGAGCCATTACAAAAGTATGTGGAACTCCCAACTAGTCAGTCAGAACTGATGAAGCCTCTTGGATGAGAGGTGGAACGTCTTCAAGGAACTCAAGCGAGTCCAGTTGCTACGATTAATCTACGAGAGTAACCACAACCTGGATGACTGGGAACCTTCACAGACTTGGTAACAACAGGCTACGGCAGGAGATAACATATTTTTTGAGGTAGCCACAACTATGCAAACCACCAGTTATATCTCAGTAGGAAACCAAATAAAGCAGCAGAATGCAAATACGGCACTGAAACACACACAGCAGAACTTAAGAGTTTAGTTCCTATATTGAGACTGTAGAAAGCTGAGTAACAAAACAAATGGTCTCAACACTCACGTTCAGCCACTCGGTTGCTCATCTTGTAGTACGTGTACATGGCCAGCATCACCAGGTCAGCCAGAACATAATACACTGCTGTGTATGTCTGGATGATGGGGAGAAACAAATACGAGTCACACATAGAACAACTCATCATGCAGCCCATTGTGATGCTGCAACAGCTCACCTGTTTAAAGGAGAGATGCTGAATAACAGTGTGAACAATCAGTTTTCTAAGTCACCATTTAAAAACAACAAACAATAATTAGCTGGTAACAGCTCTAAAATGTGACAAATACTTTTGGTACATTATATGGAAGAAATGCCAAACTTAAAACATCATTTCTGGTTTTCACAACTTCTCATTGCTTTGATATTTTAGAGTCTAATGGATCGATCTACAAGAAGATGTCCAGGCTACCGGACAATACGGTAATCATTCCATCTCTACAAGTCACCTGAAGCGGAAGCTGGTCTGCCAAGAAGGAGCCCACCAGGTTGCAGGAGTCGCCTCCGAGCCACAGCAGCAGAAACCAGATGGAGAGGGCACTGTCCATGTTCCCTGTCTTACAGGAGCTGTAGTACTGTCTGCAGTCACAAAGAAAAGACGGGATGAGACACTGCATTTAAATAAAAAGGCAAATCCTCTGAGAGGCAAAGACACAAACACTTACGGAAGTGAGGACACCATGAAGCAGAGGATGGACAGGAGGCCTAAGTAGATGCTGGCCATGTCCCTGGCGTCCTGGGCACACTCCCCGAGCCCTTCCCAGACCCATTTGGTCCCATTAGGACACAAGGAGGTGAAGTTTCCTTGTGTGGTCCATCCAAAAGTGCTGCGAGTGAGGACTCCGTCTGTCCACATGTTCTGTCAGGGGAGAGAAGCCTCAGTAAATACCCACCGAATTAGAAAAACAGCTTCTGTACATTTTGTCGTACAGTTCTGACGACGTCACCGGGCTGGAAGGAACGTTTACACGGTGTATTAAATAAAATAAAGAGCTCAGCCACGGGGATCATGTTTACAGGTGATGTTCAGCCAAGCAGAACCGACTCCAGACCTTTACAGTCACAGTCCTTCAAAGCTGAAGTTAAAATGACAGAAAAATGCGTGCTCAGTTCTCCATGTCATAAACTTCCCTTTAGACAATCTAAACCATTAGCAGAAGTACTCGCACATGTGGCTTTAGCCAATGTGCTGACAGGACTGAATGTCACTGAGCCACAGACGTTCTCTGGGACACTGATGTGACCCTTATGAGTGTGTTAGAGACAGAGAGAAAGCTGTAGGTTATCCAGGACTATCTATTTGTCTTTGTTTTCAAGACTTTCTATTAAGTAGGCAGCGTCTGTCTGTTTGATCACATGGATCATGGACGTGTCAAACAGCTGTTGGCGTGAACGCGGTGTCAGCATACAGCCCATCTCACAGACCAGGACGTCTGTAGATCACACTGACGCTGATCTTTTTATTCTGGAGCTGCAGCGATACGTCACCACTATTAAAGACTGTAAAAACAAGAAAGCTGTCAGAACAAACCGTGTGCTTTTAAGTCTGAAAATCTCTCCTGACTAATGAATACGTGTCATCTACACTCCCCGGTAAACCCTGGGCATTATGGCTGCAACACTGTGTTTGTGTGTTTTTGTTGTGAATGATCTCTATTTGTTGTTCTTTGGGGAGTTTGTTTTCATTTCTGTGTCTGTGTTTGTAATTGTATTGTATTGGTTGTGATCTGTAGTTGTGTCAATAACTAAAAAAAAAAAGATAAACCGTTTGTAGACCGCACTAACATGACTGTATCTGACATAAACTGTTGATCGTGTATTCAGCCAGGTCTTAATCTTTAACCAGGTTGGTCTGCTATTGGTGAAAATGTTTGTTTTTCTGGAGCACAAGGAGAGAAACATGAACCAACACCACCAGATAACGGGTCACCAGTCAACCAGAACACCGGAGCTTCACTCACAGCAGGTCATAAAAGCATAAACACAACATCCATTCAGCACAAATCTGCAAACAACAAGATTTTTTCAGTTCAAGCGACCATATGATGAGGTCAAAGGTAGTCTCGGGTCTAAAACCAACATAAAGCAGCCAGATTGGACCCACAGTCCGCTGCTGTTCCGCTGATTTCACCACGACAGCAGCGGTTAAATAAAGCGGTAGTGTGTCTGGTTATTCTAGGAAACGATTTTCCTCATAAATTACAGAAACCAGACACGAGCCAAACAAGCTGTTAGCCACTTAGCCCGCTAGCTAGCTAGCAACGACACAACTGACTGCCGGATCTCGTGTGTGGATAATTTAATCTTCAAACTCTACCTCTGTGGGTGTATCACACCGGGAATATATAAAACTTAAACATTTATCTTGCCTGTGTGGCCGCCGACATGCCAACAAGGTCCGGGGAAGAGCGACAGGCGGTCCGTTGTGGCAACAAAACCGCGGAAGCAGGACGTAAACAAGCCAGCCGTGTCTGTTCGCTGATTGGTCGGTTCGCGTCAGACGTCATATGAGTCACGTGAGCGCCAAAACAAAGCTGGAGGTTTTTGTACATGTTTCATTTGCTTTGTTTGATTAGATTTGATTTATCTATGTATATATATTTCTTGAACACTTTAGGTATTTTATTTTATTTTTTTATTATTGTAACTGGATACAGGTACAAAACCCATTTCACTACGCATTGTACTGTGTGTAATTGTTGACGTGACAAATAAAGTTTATCTAATGCACATCTACACCCACTGATTTTAAGGACATTACATTTAATTCAATATATTTGTTATCATTTTGAAAGTTGAGAAATAAATCAGCATTCACATAGTTGATGATTTTCAGTGTATAAATGTACAACTTTCTCTGGTCAGACTGTTCAACTATCAAACATTTATTAATGCTGTGGAACAAGCCAACGGTATGCTTTCATGTCACACACAGTGTCTGTGGACGTGGGAGGACTCGGCCGAGCTCACACATTTCACATGCTCTCATAACATATCAACAAGCCTTGTTAAACTGGACGATCCGGCCCCACAAGGTGATTCAGTCATTAGCCGTCATTAGTCCTGTGGCCTCTTACATACTTCAAGCTAACTTTGCATTTTAGTGTGCAGCTGTGAAAAACAAGACGGCGACAGTATGCAGCAGGAGCTGGTGTGTGATATCACTTCAATGTCAGATGATTCAAAATGGTATCATCTCTCAATAATTGCATCGTTTCTAGGCTGAACAGTAGAGTGTTTCCTCTTGTGACGAATCAAAACTATTCTTTCTTGGATTTCCTGGACTGACAAATCTGCTCGTAAGACTTCACAAACACAGTGGCAGCAGTAATCAGGAGGTACATCACAAGACATGGTGCCACTGATCAGTAGAGCAGTGGTCATATTAGTAGTAGATTGTATTATCACAACCTAGCTCTGAAAAACACACAGGTAAGTGCTTCAGACTTGGCACAAGAGTTATCAGTGAACATCAGGGACTCTGTTACAGCTCAGAAGATGTGAAGAACGGTGCATAACTATTTCGATGAAAACAAAATGAAGAGAATGCATGATCCTGATAGTGAAGCATTGAGGTGGAAGTGTGATGATGTGGGGCTGCATCTGTGCAAAAGAGTGTTGGGGACGTGACATTTACAGGTAGCGCTGTCATTAATACCAAAATACTGGTGGACAAGATGACTCCTAGGAATGTTCCAGCATAATAATAATAATCCAAAGCACACCAAAGAAAAAAGTGAAAATTATGACCTGGGCAAGGTTGCCTGTCACGTTAATAACAGAACATATTACAAGGAAATCTGGTGTCCTTCATACAGATGAGGGTTGATTCTGACATTTAAAAAAAAAAAAAGTGGACACATAAAGGATTGCAAAATTATAATATTTAAATCTCGGTGTTCTGATTCTCGTTGCACCGACTTCCTGCTGGTAGGCCGGTGTTTAATACACTCTGTTACATAAGAGCAAATGAAAAAAATCATTAAATCATTTCCTCTTGCATAGGAAAACGCACAGTGACAATAAAATGACAATAAAATCTTTGAACTTTGAAAAGTAGCAAGATGTGACCTGAACAAGTACGTCGCCTCACTTGAAACCAGACAAACTTCTTCAGTGATGAAAGGTCTGCTGAACTCATTGTTGCATGAGTTCCTACTGTGGGGTCTTTTAACATAGTAAATCTAGTTAATTTGTAGTCTGTCTCTAAGTGTAGCCCTGTGACAGACTGGTTACCTGTCCAGGTGAACCTGCCTTCACCCTGAGTCAGCTGGGATAGACTCCAGCCCCCAGCGACCCCAGTGAGGATTAAGGTGTAGAGATGATGGATGGATGGTTCATTTTTAATTTTAATATAACAGCAAATAACTGCTGTTCAACTACAAAGTAATGGTTTGTGAAAGATGTTCCAGTTAGTTGACATGTTGTTGCACAAAGACACTTCTGTCGCATGCTGTATATTATATTAGAACCATAAAAGTGAATCCTATGTAAAGCAAACTTGTATT